TCCATGTCTTTTCTTTTTGTTGGAGTACCTTATCAAAGTCTCCCCTTCTTGGGGATAAATTCAACACAGATGCCCTTTACGCTCAGGCCTTCCAAAGATGAGTTATGGTGGTCTGCAAAATGTATTGCTAAGGGACTATCAATAAGAATTTATTTCAGAGTTAAACATTAATGAACGTAATTTAAAACTAACATTTACCCATAGCCGTTCAGAAATTTATTTTTTTGACCTCACAATGAGAAAGTTGGAACAGGAAGATTGATCACAAAAACTTTTAGAAAAGAGACTGCCGCCAACACACTCCTCCAGGCAACAAGTCACCACCCTCTATCACAAAAACAAGGAATTCCCACAGGACAGTTCCTAAGAATTAAACGCAACTGCACAAAACACTCTGACTATATAGAGGAATCTAAAACCCTGTATAACCGGTTCAGACAGAGAGGTTATTCACACAGAACTCTTAGAAAAAGTAAAGCAAAAGTGGGGGAAAAAAATAGATTAGAAATTCTCAAAGGGACAAAAATATAAAAAAAAGAGAAACAGAAACAAGAAAATCATGTGAGAATGATTACTCAATATGGGACGTGTTGGCTGAAATTGAAGCAGATCTTTGACAGACATTGGCATATTTTAAAACTTTGCCCTATTATTGCTAATATAGTCGGCCCACGTCCCTTATTGACAGCACGTAGAGCAAAAAACTTGAAGGACCATTTAGTTAGCTCAGAGTACAGACCAAGCAAGGATGTCATTTTGTCATTTCTGTCAAAAATGCCAAAAATAAAAGGAATGTACCCCTGTGGCAAATGTCAGGTATGCCCTTATGTACAAAAAGCAAATGTTTCCATAATACGGACGGCACAAAATCTTACCAAATTACCCAATATATAAACTGTGGGAGTAGTAAAATAATATATATGTTTGAGTGTCCATGCAAAAAACTATATATTGGTAAGACTAAAAGACAGTTGCGTATACGTATAGGCGAACATTTCAGAGATATTAAAAATAAGGAAATTGATAGTCCCTTAGCAATACATTTTGCAGACCACCATAACTCATCTTTGGAAGACCTGAGCGTAAAGGGCAAAAATTACTGGTCTTGATTTACCTAAGTAACCGCTACTTCCAGTTACTCTTTATCTGGGAGACCCCCTGTTCTTCTTAGCTGAAAAAACATTGCCTGGTCTGATGAGTCTCGATTCCTGCTGCAACATTTGGATGGTTGGATCAGAATTTGGTGTAAACAACATGAAAGCATGGATCCATCCTGCTTTGTATCAATGGCTCAGGTTGGTAATGGGGGTGTAATGGTGCATCATTTAAATGCCACAGTCTACCTGAGTATTGTTGCTGACCATGTCCATCCCTTTATGACTACACTGTACCCATCTTCTGATGGCTACTTCCAGAAGGATAATGTGCCAGGTCACAGCTAAAATCATGTACTGGTTTATTGAACATGATAATAAGTTCACTGTACTCAAATGGCCTCTACAGTCACCAGATCTCAATCCAATAGAGCACCTTTAGGACATGGTGGAACGGGAGAGGAACACATCATGAATGTGCAGCCGACAAATCTGCAGCAACTGTGTCAATATGGACCATAAGGAATGTTTCCAGAGCCTTGTTGAATCTATGCCACAAAAAAATTAAGATAGTTCTGAAGACAAAGGGGGTCCAACCTAGTAGTAGCAAGGTGTAGCTAAAAAAGTTTTTAAAGATAACTTTTCTGTTTTTATTACATACCCTACTTAGACCCAGTGATCTTTTCACTAGGTCTCTGTTTTTCTCTTACAATGCAGGCAGATCATGACTGGTGGGAGAGGTTGGCTAGTTGCTGTGCATAGCTTTCTAAAACATCATAAAACACTGCCTCAGTACTCCTCTCAAGTGCCTTCAGCCCTGATTCAAGCAGTGGGGTCGCTATTGAAAAAAGTCATGAAAATATCAAAATGCGTTGATGGGTGAATGTCAGTCTGGAGGAGTGAGCATCCTAGGCATGCTGCATTTGCACCCAGCCCACCCTTGGTAATGCCCAGATGCTGAGCCTCCATGATTGAAACAAATGAAATCCAATGAATAAAAGGAGCTGGTCAGGGACAGTAAGGCTGGAGAGGAAAGAGCTAGATAATGTTGGACATTCTCCAGCCAGGGAATGGGGCAGGCTCTATCTGATTTGCTGTCACTTCTAATGCAAATTGTGAGAAGTGAACAGTTATATCAGACTATTGTTTTTACAGTAGAGAAGAATCCTTTACTAGACATGTAAGCTGTGGAAAAATTTGGTTCAGATATTTCGTCATTTTGGGATTTGGATCTGAAATTCAATTTGGTTCGGGTTTCTGATTCGGACGAAATCCGAATTTTCGTTAGCTTCGGATGAGTTTACGAATATCCGTAGCGAATACCAAAGAAAACCATATACAGATATTAATACTAAAGCTGGATCTCCTAGACCCAAATGGCATTCGGGTCTGGGAGCCATATATATATATATATATATATTACTAAAGCTGAGGCTCCCAGACCCGAATGGCATTCAGGAGCTCCCCAATTCAATTTGGAAATTCAGATCCCGAATGCCATTGGGGTCTAGGAGATCCAGCTTTAGTATTATATGTATATACTGTATATGGATCCCATGTTGCCGTAAGGAAAATTAGTGTTCAGACCCATTCTGAAGCATTAAACCGAAAAACATATCTGATTGGCCAGAAAAGTCACATGTCCGATTCAGTTTAGTTTTTGAACGAAATTCGGACAGGATCCGAAATTCAGAAATGGAAATCTGATTAGGAAACATACGGATGCATTGGGATTCGGAAATTCGGATGTGTACGAATGTCTGAATTTTGGAAAACTCGTACAATTTTTGATTCGGAACTAAACGAATCGCACATGTCTACCCTTTACACATGTGCAAAACTGAAGGTAAGGCTTGAGTTCAGCTATAAAGAGACAAAACATGTGGAAATGTACACAGCAGAGATGTACTAAACATTTTCTTTTATTTTGCCCTGATATACACTTTACTAATATTGTTCTGTGGTTATTACTCATGTGGTTCAGGGTGATTTTTGTGACGATATTGTAAACTGTATAAGAATGTATATGTGAAAGCCTACCAGAGTGGACTCATTTTGTGCAGTGTACTAGGTCTCATTTTCTATTAGTTATAGAAAATATAAAGCCAAAGATACTTTGGGGTTGATTTACTAACCTTATAAACACACCACGAACATGTATACACCTCTGTAGTGTGTTCCCTCCCAGCATGATCTATGGGTGGAATCTAAACACCTTTGTTGTGTGTACACACCCAGCAGGTGTGTTGTGCAAAGCCCTGCATGAATTACAAGGTGATGTTGGGTAAATTAGCTCTATGTTGTGTTGCTTGCGTTGATGAATGCAGGAATGTAAATGCATGAGCTAACCATTTTTGTCTAAACTGTGAAGCAGCATTATATATGCATCATGTGCATGATTTTTCCATATATGGCATTAGTGGAAATATGCTTTTAGAGACTTTTTGGTTGATAAATACGTTTTGCTGTGTGAAAATCACGCGCACCTGGTGCGTGCGTGTGTTTAGGTTAGTAAATCAACCCCTTTCTGTCGCCTGTTATGTTTACCTACATCAAGGGCAACCACAGGCACCAAATATTTTAAGTGTCTGGTTAATGTATACTATTCCTGGGAGTAATAGAAGGGCTGCCTTTGCTGACCTCCCATTGCATCCCTGACCTGGATCAAGCATACATACCAGGGGAGTCAGAGTGAAGAAGTCCTTATTTGCTTGCATCAGGTCAGCGACTCAAGCGACCAGGCAAACAGCTAAATACTAGATGAACTATATATAAGGTAACTGTTTTACCTGCCAGGTTGCTTCCATCCATTATTGAAATGTACACAGCTCTGCTACACAGCACAGCCCTGTCTGGCAGGGCAGGAGACCTGTTTTTTTGCTGCAGTCTAATAATCCTTACAGCTCTTGTCCCTCCCCCAGCCTGTGACTGGACAAGTGAAAGGAAAAGCAGCAGACTGAGAGGCTCATATTTTTCGCACACTATGCTCTCTCCTTCTGCTAGCATGCTCCTTGCACTGCAGCACAACTGATTGGTTTCTTGCCCCAGTCTCAGCTCTGCTTTACAGGGGACTGCAAGGCTGATATCAAGTTAAATTCAGATACTTGCACAGCTTCCATTTAAAAATACATTTAATGATATATTAATAGGTACAGAGCTGCAATAATCAGTAACTTTAATCTGTGCCTAGAGTGCAGCTTTAAAACAAAATGGTCACCATGGCCAGACAACGCCAGACAACCAAAAAATTCCTGAAAAAATAGTCAAAGATGGCAGCCTTCATGTTTATACTTGCGCAAACAACATGCGGTTATTTGCGCTCTTATGCGCGTTGTGCACATTTGTATGCGTGTTTGAATGTCTGTACATGAAGACGTGCGTTTTGATTGGCAGCTTATAAACCATTGTGGGCAATGGAAGAGCACGCGTATAATTGCTCAAAAACGCTCACGAAAATGTAGAACATGCTTCTGTTGTGCGTTTTTGGGCATTTCCAATGAAGTCTATGATGCAAAGAAGCGCTTTTAACTGCCCAACGAAGCTCCTGTACCTTTTCTGCATTTGGCGTTTTTCTGCTCAGGGGTGAACCAGGGTCATTGAAAATCATGGGATTTCTTGTGTTGGGCAGTTAAAAGCGCTTTTAGAACTGCTCAAAAACTCCTAGGTGTGAACCAGGCCTAAAGGAGTTTGACTAGTTTGCCTAGTAGTAGCCCTCCCACAAAGTTGAACAAACTAAACACTAGTTATTGTACTTAAATATAAACTAACACCCCATCAAATATGGGGTGTTGAATTCAACAGAATTGTTTAGCTGGTTTTTCTACATATACAGTATTATGTGACAAAACCACATTGTTCTTTTGCTTAGAACATCAAGTATTGCTGAACAACACGTAAGGACATTACCTGGAAGATTATTACTTATATTAATAGACTGTGTCATCTTGGTACGAAAATGTAAAGACCCAGCCTCAGTAGGGAATCTGTAAAAGAGAACACGTCATAAAATACGATAGGAATAAAAATCTACCATTCTGAGAACAACTCTGATTCATGGTAAGCTACTGTGTAGCATCGTTAACATTTAACACAAGCAGCAGATTAGATAATATCAGTATTATGTTCATTTTCATTTTACATCTGCAAGTTGGTTCCATTATTGTAATTCTTGACATTTCATTATTCTAATGCTTGTTATTCCATTATTCTAACTCTAGCTGCTGTTAGCTTTTTTTTAAAGGAAAAACTTAAAGCAGACCTTCACTCCAGAAACTGAGTTTTCCCCACTGCAACCCTCCTCCCTCTGCTATTAAAAAGAAACGCAGAATCTTTTTGTGTTTGTGTGTTTGTCTATGCAGGAATGACATACCCCTGCTGTTGCAGTCTCCTGTGATATTCATGCCCCAGGAGGCTGCAGGAGCACGGACACACAGGGGCTGGAGAGCTGACCTGGTGATGTGTCATTGAGGGCTGTCTGTAAGAACCTGGAAGAGCCAGCTTACAATAACGTAGGAAGAAAAATGGGCAGTGTGGGACAATGTTGTGCGTGGAGTGGTGGATGGCAGCAGGTCAATGTTGAATTCGATGGGCATGGGAGTTTACTTAAAAGAAAAAAAAAAAACCTCACAGAAAAGGTAAGATAGGATAGGAGAGGGAAGTTCCCTCTTAAAGAGGAACTTTAACCATATCTTTAAAATGAAATGTTTAGTAATGACAATCTACAACACATACTTCTAGATAATCGCTGGGTTTTTATTCTTTGCATAGCTTTTTTTTTATTTTCTTCCCAATGTTTCTCACAGTGGCCATTTATACTAAGGGCAGATTAATCCATCTCCCTCTACTTCCTGGAACTCTGGCACATGTGACTAGGACATGTTACCATGCACATCATCTCAGGGGGGAAAATTCTTGTGAGATTTGGCAGCTTGCAAAATGAGATTTGCCAGCAATGCACTTCTCATGTAAACTTCCCAGAATGCATCTCTTAGGCATGGGCTACATCACTAGTGCCTAAGAGGGCCAGGAAGTGGAAAAACAGTAATTATAAGTATAACAAAAATATGTTTGTCTAACTAATCAATGTATGATGATTTCATAGTTACATAGTTACATAGTATTTGAGGTTACATAAAGACGTAAGTCCATCAAGTCCAACCTATTGCTTGTGTGCATTTATGTTTGAGCAGGTATGTGCGTGTGTATGAGTCCATGTGTGACAGGGGCGGATCCAGAGTCCATTCTCGGGAGGGGCACTGCCAGAAACCGGCCAGTATGCCTCCCTACGCTCACCCGCCCTGCATGTCCGTACGAGCATACGAGTACGCTCACCCGCACGGATATGCAGGACGGGTGAGCGTAGGGCGGCTTACGGCCATGTAGTCCTATAGAGAAGAACAGGGGCTGTGTACTAATCACACGCAACACCCGTTCTTCCCGGGAGCTGCCCGATACGGCCGTGCACGCAGCACGGAGCTGTACGTGCCGGCCGATTTCAGTGTGAATAAGCCCTTAAAAAAACTGGTCACTTTACCCCGGTGGTCAGTGGGGGCTCCCGGGGCCTGGTTGGTAGTGGAGGCTCACCTGTGGCCGCACCAGCCAGTTTGCCAACTCGCATACCGAGTCGATCCGGGCTGGCTGGATCAGGCAGATGCGGCCCTTTAATCAGGCATGTTAGAGAGCTGCCCTTGAGGAGCGAGCGGCTGTGCGATTAGAAAGCCACATCTTTAACGGCAGAGAGACGGCGGTGGGAGGGAGCCACTGCACCTGCGGCCAGGAGGTTCATTTAGCGGGGGCGGGGTGACGGGTCCCCTGATGGTCAGTCCGCCCCTGGCTGGTGGCATTCAGCATTGCTGTATAATCATTATACAGCAATGCTGAATACCACAAGCCCAGCTAGTCCCCCAATTCCCTCTTTCCCCCCAAGCCAGTTATTACCCACAGACTACCCCAACCTTACCTAACATATGCAGGCTCTTCATCTGCGTCCTTGGTGACCAGTGGAGGGGAGGGGTCACAGGAGAGGGTGCCTGCAGAGACGTGTATCGGCTCCGCCTCCGTCTGGCTATTGGTCATTGCCAATGACAGGCAGCTGCAGCTGCCAATGATCTGTTTCATTCAGAAGATCCCCGCACACGCACAGCCGCCGGTAAATACAGCTGTCCCTCCGTGCCACAGACTTTACTGCAGTTCATTGTACAATGTTTTTTTACAATGAACCGCAGTAAAGTCTGTGACACAGAGGGAAAGCTTTATGTAGTCGTGTCACACAACACACACTGCGGGTGGCAGCCGCAGCAGACGCAAGGATCGGGACTCGTCACTCGGGACAGTCACAGGAGCGGCACTAATCTT